CACACACACACACACACACACACACACACACACACACACACACACACACACACACAAAAATACTTGACCCAACTCCTCGTGGCAGGTTAAACACCGAGATTGTTCTGCACCGCCACTTCTCATCAGAGTTGAAGCTCATTATGGAGGTAGAAGGGTGTGTGTGTGTGTGTGTGTGTGTGTGTGTGTGTGTGTGTGAAGTCTTTTAGTTTTTAACTTTAGAGCTGCAGCAGGTCAGTCATGTCCCCTCTTAGATTTGAATACGCTCAGTATGATGAGCGGGACGAGGACGCCAGAGTAAAAACGTTGTAAAAAGTGAAGTTGTGATATATTTAGTCAGCCGGACTGCTTCACCTCTCATTCAGGCTTCTTCAGTTCTCTTGGATGAGAGTGTGCAGACTTATACAACTCCCGAAGACACCATGACCTGGGTGAACACACTTCTCACATCAGTGCAGGGGTGGCACACTGTGGCACTATCGCCTCACGGGAAAAAGGTTCTGTGTGTTCTCCTCGGGCCTGAATGAGTTTTTGTCCTCCAAACACCAGAGGTGTTGCAACAGGGCAGGGAACGCGGTCAGACCCAGGAACAGCTGCTACGTTAGTTCACATTTTTTGAAAACCTTTTTGAAGAATTATCTGAAGATTGAAGTGATTTGGTTTTGACTCGTGCCTCTGAAACACTCCTGCCAACAAGCAGCATTCGTTAATTGGCGGCTCTGATTTGCCCGAAGAGCCTGAATGGTGGTTTGTCTTTATATGTTGGCCTGGCAATACGCTGGTGACTGTCCAGGGTGCAGTCCACCTCTCGCCCAGTGTCCGCTGAGACTTTCAAATACAAGTGACGCTAATGGATGGATATCAAAGTGTAATCCATCAGGAATGTAAGCTTGTGTACTGGCACACACAGTCTTGCGGGATGACTTTGTGTTGTGTTGACACAAAAAGTTGAGCCAGATTCACTTGTTTTCGTCGAGCAACCTTTTGGAAGACCGGGGTTTCCCCCCCGCTGGGCCGGAGTTGGTTTCAAGCAGCCTAGGTTCAGACACGGGTCAGACAGGATCTTAAAAATTTACTGTCTTTGGATTTAAAGCTGAATATTATTTCAGGGCGTCTCTGAAACTGAGCGTTGTGTCGTAAAAATGAATAAAACTTTCTGCCAACTGTGGATAAGTATGTTGTGGTGCAGTGAGAAACAAAAAATGCTGCATCAGTCTTAGGTTGAATTATTATTTACCCAGAATACACAACAAATTAGTGTTGAGCATTTATGGAACCACACTGTCGGGACTGTTTCAGTTACGTTTTGTCCGTCTTTTATTTCTCCCTGTTTTTAGACCAGTTCTCTAAAACAGTGAGTCATGAGTCTGGTCGTCCTCTGAGCTAATAGCTGTGTTTCATTAATCGATGACTAATGACGACAAAAGGAAAAAACACACAAAGACAAAGAGTCGTGCCAGAACGTGAGGAATCACTTAAAGATTCCCTTCTGCTAATTCTTCATTCATCGGAGAAACAGAAGTTTTTCATTTTTTTGGGCTGCTTGAAGTCAGAGCTCCATTAGTCATGTTGATTTTATTTCGCAGAACAACTCTGATGATATTGTATATTTTTCTTTTTGTCTTCAAACACAATAAAAAGACCAAAAATGATAATAAATTAGTCCTATCGTGGTAATTATTGTGAAACCAAAGCCACAGAGCTCCATTGTGTTCCCAAAACAGTTAAAAACACATATTTTACTTTATTTTAAATCGACTCCACGCTGCCCTGCTGCTTTAAATATATCAGATCTGCTGTAGAACAAATGAACGTCATCTTCCTGTTTGAGAAACGTTTACCACAAACTAAACCATCCAGCTCTTTGTCTGTTCATGTGTTGACCGTTAAGAAAAATATAGAATAATTACTGCTCAACGAGGATTTGACCTGAATCGCCAGAATTTGACATTTTTGTTGAACCAATGAATTTCTCTTCCAGGACTTTATACGTCCACTGCTCAAGATTGGTACTTTTACTCCACTGCAGTACTTCAGTACAATTTTAAAATGCTTGTACTACTGCATTTACTTTGTACTTCATTACAGATGGAAATATTAACGTTTTTACTCCACCACCTTTATGTACTTTGCAGATTACAGGACTTTAACTGTAATAACTTGGTTTTACACTGATACACAACTGCTTTTACTTAAGTAAAGCGTCTGAGTACAGAAATTACTCTGAAGAAAAAGTGGATAGGTTGAGTTCGATCATTAACTGAAACAATCTCTGTAAAACTGAGATTTATGTAAAAACGTATATATCACATCACGTGCAGTGGTCATGTGGTGTAAATGGGAGGTAGATCATCTACTCTGAAGTTTCTTAGTTACATAAAATTCAGCGAAGACGAACCAACAATCGTTAAAAGTAAAAGCAGGGATTTCTGCAACGCCACCCCGGAAAGTCAAGTTTTTTTTTAAAACGTGAAAGCGTTTCCAAAATCCTCAGTTTAGAGGATTAAGAACTCAGGAGTGGGTGTGAATGCCAAACGTAAATGTAGCAACAGACGTGTTGTAAAAGTAAAATGTGTTGGTGTGGACGTAGTCTGCATTTCTGTGTGAATTACTGTCACTCTCCATACATTTATTAGAAACCTCAGCCCTTTACACAGACCTGTAATTGATTGGCTTGGACGACGACTTGGCCCAGGTACAAGTGTGTGTGTGTGAGTGTTTGTGTGTGTGTGTGTGTGTGTGTCCATGAAAGTGAAATAAAAAGCAGGGAATTTGGGAATTCACAAATTTTAATTCACTTCAACACTGGATGAATTAAGTTTTCGTAGGAACTGTATTTGAGTCAAACCCTGATTCCTGTCATACAGAAAAAGCACAGTTAATCTTACGCAGTGATCGGAGTAATAATCTGTTTAGAGTGTAGCAGCCGATCAGGAGAGTCCGGCCACACGCCGTCCTTCCGCAGACATCGATACAGACACTTACACACAACTGCACCGGACACGAGAAAAGAAATAAAACAGTTTGGATTTCTTTTTTTTCTTTTTTTTTTTTTAAATACTCTTGTGATTTAAATTTCCTGACACTGAAATGAACCGACTTCACTGAGTTGTCCGGACGAAAGAAAATAAAAACATCAACCTTCTCCAAAGTGGCTCAAAGACTCAAACAAGTTACTCAGCAAAATAAGAAATAAAAGTATACCAATAATAATAATAAAATAATTAATCCCTAAATTAATTTACAGACATTAAAAAGTGAGGAACAGAGTCAAACCTGCCACTTTTCTTTAATGGCTCAAAAAATTAGATTGTCGTCAACTGCAGCAAAAACCCAAAAAAAGCACAGTTTCGCTTTTTTATTCAACTTTTGCTCTTTTCAACAAGTTATTTACTAGTTTTGGGAAAATGAATAATAAAAAACTGGCAGAATACAGCATGACTTTTTTTGACTTTTTTTTTTTTTTTACCCAGGAACACTCAGTAACTGCTTCTTTTTTAATTTTCTTCCACTCTCCGCTCCTCCTCCTCCTCCTCCTCTTCTTCTTCGTCGTCGTCGTCTTTTAGGGCAGCGTGCTCTTAATGTCTCTTGTTACCCAAACAACCGCCCAGTTCTGAAAACCAATATTTAAAAACCATGGAAATAAAACCTAAAAATAGCACAGGATGACAGCAATTCTAACCATAATAACAACAATAATAACAATAATGATAATAATAATCATGGATAAAGATAGCAATAAATAGGGTTGGTGAAGTTTAAGTGCGGGTAGGTGTGGTGAAACACAAGACCGTGGGCACCAATTAGAGAGAGGAAAAGGAGGAGAGCGAGAGAGGAAGAGTGGAAGGGGTGGACGACCGCACATAAAGTGACTGATTGTTTGGTTGCTGAATCTCCACTCTGTCCTCGCTTTCTGGACATTTTTTTCTCGCCACACGTATGCGGGCGGTGCCAGGCGAGGGTTCAGAGCCCCGAGTGTCCCTACACGCCACATCCTCTGGATTTCCGTCCACTGTCCTCCTGCCAGACTGTCCGCTGAGGGAGGACAGAGGTCATCACATCCACAATACATCAGTGTCTTTGTGAACAGTAAGTGCTTGATAGGACTGGTAGTGACTCTGGAGTGTGACGGTGAGATGAGGGCGGGACGTCAGGTGGTCGTTTCCCCTTTTATTACTTTTCTTTTTTTTTTCTTTTTTTTCATCCACTATGAAACGAAGCTGCAAGGTGAAGGGCAAGTCCGCGGCAGGCGACAGCATTTAGCAACATCAGTGTGTGTCCTGAGGATTCGTAGGATTGCAGAGGTCCGAGAGGACCCCGGGATCCAGTCAATCAAATGTCAATCAGCACATGTGGACTTAACGTCCTGTATGGGACTGTGCTCGGACGTTAGAGAGGAGGAGCAGGGACAATTTCTCTTCTGACGACTGGTTGATTCATAGAAAGTTCTGTGGGTTTGGTGTTTGTGCCTGTTTTGTCGGTCGGAGGCCTGAACAGCAGTAGTCTCACCTGCTAATGAAACCCTGGAGTGAATGGTTCAAACGTTTGTGGAAAAGCTGTTTCACAGTTACGCCGTGGCACAGCACTCTGCGAACCTGCTGTCTTTGGCTGAGGTAATTTCACTCCATAAATCAGGTTTTCACAGATGTCTGTCTGGGATTGTCACGATAAAGAGTCTGTCTGGTCGCAGTATTTCAGTCTAATGGTTTTCTTGCTTGATGTGTACCTACAGAGACATTTACGCCTCATACAGTTTCTGTGCAGCCATATTCCATCAGTTTGATTCCAGTTCCTCAGTTCTGCATTGTAGATTCTCCTCCCTCTCTCTTTTCTCCTGGCCTCTCCTCTCTGTTTGTCAGTCTCTACCTCTGGTAGTCAGCCTGCTCTCTAGGACTGGATGAGGAGCTCCCGGGGGCCATGTTGCCCCCTGGCCGGCTGTGTCCCTTGTCCTTGCTCTCCTCCTGAGCCACGGTGGCTCCTGAGGATGACTGGCCGGAGCTGGTGCTGGAGCCGGAGGATGCTGAAGGCTGGTTCAGGCCTCCTGTGCTCCCACCATTACCCTCTGTGGACTGGTAGATGTCCTCAGCTCCATCCTCACTGGACTCTGGGTCCTCTGAGCCCGACAGCAACTCTTCTTCTCTGTACTCGCTGACGTCCACACCTCCGCTGGCGGTAGCCCCCTCACACAGCTCCTTGAGGCGGCCGTGGTGCTTCACGTGGTAGCGCTGGTTCTGGAAGAACTTGATGATGGTGTGTTTGGGCAGGTCGAGCTGAGCCGACAGGGTGTGGATGGCCTCCTGGTCTGGATACAGGCCGACATCTTGGATGAAGCTCTGCAGGATACCCAGGGCCTCCAGGGAAATCTAACAGGATTCAGGAAAGACAGATAGATTAATAAGATGCTTTCACTTTATGGGTCCTGAGCAGAGAAAACAATAAGAGACTCTACCTTAGTGCGTGATCGTGGCTTCTTGTTGCTCCCAGCACTACCAACAGAGCCGGGACACCCTCCCGCCCCTCCTGCTCCCACGTTCTGTGAGCCCTCCTCGTTCCCTGGGGCAGATAGCGGTTCCTCTCGCATCGGGGACAGGCGGTGCTCCTTCATCGGGACCGGGGGTGGCCTGTGAAGTGCCTGACGGGAAAGACAAAAGAGCTGATTAATGGGGCACAGTGACCCCTGATCAAGACCGCTGCAAGGAATTCATTTTAAACAACATAACGAATTGAATAACGACCTTGTTTCATATTTTAATTTCAACATATGGAAACATGTGTGGCTTCTAGTCAGTCCAGGGCGTCAAATGATTCTTTAATCTTCCACCCGGAATCAAATATTAAGTCCTGAGTATCATTTGTGAATGACAGTAACCTTGTCTGATGCAACACATCTAATAAAACAACCAGTAACCCATTGCAGCACACAGTAGCCAGGGCTGCGGGTCAGCCGAGGGTGAGAACAAGTGTTTCACAGCTGACGGAATGTCACAGTCTATTAACCTGCTCCAAGGCTGCGTGCCATTCAAACTGTGTGTGTGTGTGTGTGTGTGT